ACACTCCCCTCCCCAGTATCACCTCCAACCCCAAAGCCTGAGGCCCCCAGCCATGCTGAGCCCACCCAGCTGGTAGCCGGAGCTGGAGGCAGAGCTGAGGTCCACCCTGTTGGCAGGTTTGTGCCTCAGTTTCTCCCTCGGCCTAGTGATAGGGACAGACCAGGGGCCTCCGTGATCCTTCTGGACGAGTGTTAGAGTTCCGTGAAGAACAGAGACAGCACTCAGGTTTCGGCGGCAGAATGTTTCTCGAATGCTGAGCCGGTGGCAGCAGCATTCTGGTGTTGGGCATTTTGATAACGTGATAATGTTTAGATCTTCAAGGATAAAGAAGATCCATCTCTGGTGTATATTTTTGGAGGGAACATGTAAGGATACTTAGCAAAATGAAGCACACACACCTCTAAGAAAGAAAATAACGGGATCCAGTTATCTTATAAATCAGCAATGTGATGACAGGATGACTCAGCAGCAAGCCTATTTCGAACAGAGAACCATGTCAGAGCTCAAAAAAGGATGTCTTTCAGAAGAAAGTGAAAGTATTTTCACAAATAACGTGAGAAGCTGAATGGCCTTTCAAAGGCGAAGGGGCGCGCTTCTTTTATGAACAATAAGACACAAAGGCGATGGGAACGCCAGGAAACCCAAGCAGCTGTGCAGGTCAGACGTGGTTCGGTATAAACCACAGTAAACGAAGGTCTCTGATGGTTAGTTTCTGCATCATCCTGGCTGGCCACGTGTACCCAGAGTACTTGTTCTTTCTGGGGGTGTTTGCAGGTGAGGTCAGCATTTGCTAGGTGGATCCAGTAAAGCAGACTGCTTCCCCAGTGTGGGTCCACCCACATTGAATCCACTGAGGCCCGCATTCAAGGAATTTATCCCTTTTTCCTGCCTGGCTGATCGAGCTGGGATGGCTCATCTCACCTTCTCCTGTTGGCTGGGACTCAACGTCGGCCCCAGGTTCTCTGCCTTTGGATTCAGACGGAGCTACAGCACCAGCTGTCCTGGGTCTCCAGCTCACAGCGGGCAGGTCATGGGACTTCTCTAACCCTAACCTGCCGCCACCTGGGGAGCCAGTCCTTCATCATAACTCTCCTCACACCCTACTATTCTGTCTCCCTGAAGCCCTGCCTGACACGGGTGTGATGTAGAGTGATTGCTGGAGGTGGAGACAGAGGCGCCATTTGAAGTTGGGGCTCACAGTGGTCTCCTTTCAGTAGCAGACTTGATAACGAATTAGCACTTTTCTCTCCAGTCCGTCACGCTGCTCAGCTCTGCAGTGCATCACATGGTCACTGTCCTGAGTAATTGAATCAACACTACCTGTACCAGTTGCTTTGACTGCACTGCACTGAAACCACACATTGGCTACAGGGAGAGAATGAAAGTCCAGGCGCCTGGCCACGAGGAAGTGGGACTCGTCAGTAACTCAGATCAGAGAGAAACCAGACCGAACTAGTTTCTTAGAACACACGTCAGAAGTGACAAGTGGAGCCACAGGGACACTTTGCAGAATCGTGGCCTTGATTGGACAAGTGAAAATAAATGAATGAAGCATTGGTCCTAGAAATCGTTGAAATGTGGTAAGAAGACATGTTAAGAAGTTGGCTCTTGCTTGGAGTATAGGTTGTGCGAGGCGGGGTGGGCCCGGCTTCAGGGCCTGAGCTCCAGGGCCGGGTGTCATCCTGAGCTACCAAGCGGCTTGCCATCTGTGCACAGGCTGCTCCAGGGAGTCAGAAGTGGCATGAAGATGAGGTTTTAGGCTCCGTGACCTTCAGCCCGCCTCCCAGCAGACGGTGCATCCCTGGGCAGCGGGAGGTAACACTGGACTGAGCCCACCTGGTCCCACTCACCTGTCGTGTGGGGCTCCGTGTCACCTTGCCTGTCTCTCCCTCCCAGGCATCAGCAACGCAGAAGCGCGGCAGCCAGGGAAGGCACCCAACTTCAGCGTCAACTGGACGGTGGGCGACTCGGCCATCGAGGTCATCAACTCCACGACGGGCAAGGATGAGCTTGGCCGAGCGTCACGCCTGTGTAAGCACGCGTTGTACTGTCGCTGGATGCGTGTGCACGGCAAGGTACTGAGGCGCTCCCGCGGCGACGCCTGCCCCTCCGCCCACCCCACCCCCACCGCTTGTCCGTCCTGTCACAGCCCTGCCCCGTCCATACGACCCCCATAACCTGTTCTTTCTGGTGGTATTCAGCCTGGAGTCTGGCCCTGGCTCTTCAAACTAACGCAGCTCAGCTCAGAGGCAGCTTCCCTTCTCGCCCTCCTGCTGGGACCTTCTGTCACCTCAGACGAAGAGCCGGGTGCCCGCAGGACGGGCATTGCTGGGCTCAGTCAAACCCGCCAGGAAGGATTTTAGACCTTTTTCCTGCACTAGTAGCAGCAGGACCCTGTCCCCCAAATAAAACCCTATTTAGCAAATCTATATATTAACTAGTTTTCATTGATTTGTGAGTCAGGCCTGTGGTGTTCGTTATGAAGCTGGCTTTGGAGGAATAGACAAGTTGCCGGAACCTAACTGTGAGGGGGCCAGTGTAGAATTCCAGTGACCAGCCCTGTGGTTTTCAGTAGCCACAGTGTTGAAATGGACATTGGAATCCACTGTTTGTGGGTGGCAGAGTACCTCCCGTTTGCAAGGCTGCTCCTTGGGGTGGGAGCACAACCCTCAGAGGACCTGGCTCTGTCCCATGAGAGGACCATCCCGCTGTGGGCGGCGCCTTCACGTGGTGGCCCTGCCCCCAGAGCCAGCACAGCGCTAAGCACCATTGCCTGAACATCCTCAGTTTTAGCTTCTGTTACTTCTTAATGGTTATACTTGTTTTCTTGTCTTCACACAGGTTCCCGCCAACCTGCAGCGCTCTAAGATCACCAAGCCCAACATATACCATGAGTCCAAACTGGTGGCGAGGGAGTACCAGGCGGCCAAGGCCTGCATGTTCCGGGCGTTCATCAAGGCAGGGCTGGGCGCCTGGGTGGAGAAGCCCACGGAGCAGGACCAGTTCTCACTCACGCCCTGACCGGCGGCAGGTGTGGAGTGCCCAGTGTCCAGCACTGTCCCGAACCTCCATCTGAACTGGGACGGCCACGCAGCTGGGGGCGGGGAAGGGGGGTCCGGTGCCGCCCTGGGCACCTCTGTGGCACCATCTCCCCGTCCAGCGACCCAGTGACCCAGTGACTGCTTTCAATCTCCGTTTACGATAGAAATTGAGTTCTACTGAGTAGGGCTTCCTTAAGCTTAGAAATAGCAATTACTTGGTGTGAAATTCTTGAATAAATAATTTATTCAGAGCTAGGAACATGATTTATAAAATAAGTAATTATGCCAGGTCACTCTTATGCCACATTATTTTAATTGCAAAAAAGCATTCTCTATGGAGGAAGAGGAAGTAGAGGTAGAAGTAGTAACCTAGGAAGTCCATGCCCCATACCCCCTGCGGGGCCCAGCCGCTCCGGAAGCTTCTGTGTCCTTGTAGGATCTTATCACAGGAAACCTTCCTTGGTTTACTTCTAAATAGATGTAAAAGGGGCCATTCGCTTGGGTTTTGAAGCAGTATTTAATTTTTCAGGACCAGTGGGAGTACATCCAGGCTACCGCACAATAACCAGCCTGGCCCCCCTCCTTCTGAGTCCAACAGACCAGTGACCATCCAGAGGTCTTCATGGGACCGAAAGAGAATAAAGTTCATAGATACTCATTTTGAAAAATACCACTTAAGGCATATTTTTAAATTATTCCTTCCAGCTTTATCAAAGACACATTTGAGAAGTAAGCATGCAGGCTGAAGGCGGCAGGCGGGGGTGGAGTCACAGCAGGGACGGTGCTGCTGGCAGTGGGGACCCAGGGGTCCTGCCCAACACCCTACAGCACACAGGACGGCCCAGGGCGGGCGAGCTGGGGTCAGGGGCAGGCCAAGGCCCGGCCTGTTGCTTCCACTCAGGGTCAGAGCTGAGCGGGCAGAGGAAGTGCTTCTAGCCTTTGGCTGATTCTGGGTTGTGGAGGGACCCATGGGTGCCATGGGAGAGATGAGGCACACCCCACCCACAGCGAAGTCAGGTACCGACACTGGCGGCATCGGCTGTGCACCCAGTGTCCCATGTCCTTAGGCTTAGAACGTGCAGAGCATGGAGCCCTGTGTGATCACATCCTGCGGGCACGTCCTGGTGGGGGCACACCTGGCCGGGACTTCCAGGCTCCGGCACCAGCATTCCCCCCTGTGTAGGCTGTGGCTCGCCCCCAGCCCACTGAGGGCGGGGTCTGGCTGGGTTCCAATGTGCTGGCACTGCACATCGCAGGGAAGGGCCCCGTGGAGCCAGCCCTCCCCAGCAGGCTTGCCCGCACCCTGACGACATCGGGGAGGCCCTGTGTTTTTATTCTTCTCTCTATAAATGGTATTTTTTCTAATGGGGAACGGGAGATGGAATAGTTTTTAAAAAAAGATGTGGGTTTTGACGACCAAGCCCAGTGGAAATACATTCCGTAGACGTGTCCTGTCCCACGTGTCCTGCCTTCCCTCTGTCAGATGCTGTGAGAAATTAGCCGGGTCCCTCTCGCCCAAGTGAGCGATGCCTTACTGTGTGCTGCCCCGCGGGCCCCGAGCTGTGCACCATCCTGGGCCGGGTTCGTGTGACCGGCAGGGCTCGGCCTGAGGCACCCAGGACTGGCCCGTGGCTGCCAGGGAGGAAGGTAGGAGGCCTGCCCAGCCCCTGGGAAACCCCTAGGACAGGCAGCCAGAACCTCTCCTCTGAGCAGGAAGGAGGGCAGGTCGAGTCACTGCTGCGGAGACAAAGCAGGACATCGCGCACTTTAACCTGTGCCCTCTGCGCCCACCGCACACTGGACACCCAGCTGGTTCCTTGGGGCGTTGATTGGCACCCAGTGTCCTCCGTCTGGACTTGAGAGACTTCACAGAAAAGTTGACATCACCAAGGACTTGGTTTTTTTTGAGAAAAATGTTAAGTTTTGAGGACTTCTGACCAGTGGGGTCGGGAGGGTTTCTGCTCTGTTAGCTAAACCTGAGTCAGTTCCATAAGAACACTGGTCGCCGTCCAGCCCACGCCCGGCGGCCAGTCCGCTGGCGGGAAGGGAGCTGAAGGGACGTCTCGGGTGGCGGCACGTTTGTGTCGTGAGCGAGGCTCTTCCAGGTTGGGCCACGGCCGGGGCTGGCATCCTAGCCACATGGCCCGGCCACAGCCACCTGCTCAGGGTCAGCCTCACCGTCTCAGGCCAGGGGCACAGGCACCACGATTCCGATTCCAGGCCTTCGTTTAACTTTCATTCCTATTTGGGAGATTTGTGTTGTAATCAAAAACAATTGTTTTTAAATGTCCGAGCCAACGTCTCAGAAGGGGTTGGTGTCCCTGGAATTCATGTTTATCCAAATCATTTCATTGGTCTCCGTGCTGGGGGGTCACCTTGTAAAGAAGTGCGTCCTGAACAGTAACTTCACGTGGCTGTTGAGGAGCGGCTCCCGTCCCTCCCGGGTCTGAGGAGGGACGGAGGCCGCGTGCCCTCCTCACAGAACACGACACAACACAGATGGGCCTTTTCATTTCTAAACTCTTTACACCAAACTATCGGGTCTGCCCCAGCCACAAATTTGATCCAGCAAGAGAAATAAAATTAGCTGGCTTTTCCCCCCTAAAGCCTATGAAATCTCTCAAAAGGTCTCTACCATACGGCTGTGTGAATGGGAAGGGAAGAGTACTAGTGATCATGTGTGTCCAGTTCTGTGTGTCCTTGTCCCCGGCGTGTCCTGTGACCACCTCCTGCCCGCAGCACACAGTATGTCCACACGATGGGCGGGGGAAGGGCACAGGGTCTGACCTGATCCTGACTCGGTGGCTGCACTTCCCTGCGTGCTGTTTGAAGGGATGAGCCTCCAGCCCCAAAGACACCTGTTTGGGCGCCAGGAACACCTGTTCGGGCTCCGTGTGGCTGATGGTGCACGAGGGCCGAGGGCATCCTTTGGACGTGACCACGGCCGGCTGCAGGCGTGGTCTGTGGAGTGTCGGTGGCGTGAGCCGGAAGGCCCTTGCCTTCTCAGACTGTAGGCTGTGCGCTCCTGACTTCTGAATGTGGACACTTTATATGAATGTAATTCGGCCAAGAAACCATCGCTAAGATGCTCTCCGTGCTCCCATATGTATATTGATGTATATACCACACGTTACACCCGCATGTGCTCCTCGCGCACTGAGACCCGTGGGACCGAGCATGAGACGCTGTCACATAGACAAAGGATTTGCAACATCCTCAATAAAACCAAGCGTTTCACTACCACAGTGTGCTGAGTCTCTCTCCTGCCTGACCCTCTCTCCTTGGCCCGCTGCCAGGGCAGGGCCGGCCGGTCCTCTGAGCATCAGCTGGAAGGTGTGGGTGAGTGGCCGGAGCTGGGGCTGCGGTCTGGTGGGGCCAGCTGTGCTGCTCCCAGCACCTCCCATTAGGGGACAGGCTCACTGGGTCCCCGCCCCCCTTGATTCCTGGCGTTTTCACCGTCTTCCTGAGCACGTCAGCAGCTCCCATGTGTAAGGTGTGCAGAGGGCAGTTAGAGCTGCCCTTCCCAGACCCTCTGTAAGTGATGACATAAGCCCAGTCACCTTCAGGGCATGTGAGGGCGATGTGGGCGAGAGGAGGGGCACAGGAGGCACTAGGACACAGCAATAGCCACAGTCAAATCAAGCATATCAAACTCAAAGGCTCTCACGGGCCGGATAAACGAGGCATGTGGCCCACAGGCCGCAAGTTTGACATGGTTAGTCTACATAGACCCGGCATTTAGATCCAGTGAGGGCCAGAGAGACGAGGCAATTGGGCCCAGTGAGGAGAGAGGCGGGGCATTCAGGCCCAGCGAGGACTAGGGCAGGTGATGGGGCGTTCGGGCCGAGTGGAACAACACAGCTACCAAGTGACAAGCCGGAACCATGTTTAGGACTTAGTGTCCCAGAAAGACACAGTAAACGGAGGGGAAACTGGCAGCAGGCGGCCTTCGGATCCTGTGGTCGTGGAGAAGTGTGATGGTTAAGGTGGGAGCACAGCAGCAGGAGAGCCAGGGAGGGCCGCGTCCGGGCACGCTGCATGGACGATGGGATCCGGGGTGATTTTTATTTTATTTTTCTCACCTATTTGTCAATGTGTCTATAATTAAGTGAAAAACAAGGAAATGTTTTGGAAAAATTAAAAGCCCCATGCAAATAAAAAGCCCTGATATAGACAAATAATTTGTTCTATTGCATTAATTTTAAATCTGTTCTTTTTACACAATAAAAGCAACATTAAAATGAAAATGTTGCATTAATAAAAGGACAAATTAAGCTTCAGAGAAAAGACGGGGTGGGGTGGTGTCTTACAAGTTCAGTCCAGGTTCCTGGGGCGTCTCCCATGGCATCCGTGGCATCAGACTCCATGTCCGGGGTGCGAGTGACCGGTGCTAGACAAGAACCCCCGGGAGCCATGTTCTCCCAGGGAAGGGCAGAAATAAGCACGCAGACAGACCGATGTCCAGCAGATGCTCAGGGAAGAAGAAAGGCAGGGCAGGGTGGGAAGGTTTGGAGGCTGAAAGAGCAATTGTGTGATCAATCATTCAATTCTTTAGCTTTAAAATGCAAAATGAAGCATTAAATTTTGATTATTTAATCATTATTATCAGTAAATTATTTAGTAAAGACAGAGGGAGCAGCCGAGAGAGCAGGCAGTTTGGGGCTCCGTCCCGTGTGGGCGCGGAGGCTGAAGGTCCAGGAATTCAGGAGCAGTAGTTGGACACAGCCATTGTTAAAAATCCCGGTATATAAACACAGTTATATGAACAACCCAGGCAATGAGGGAATGCTCAGGACTCATCACTCCCACTGGCTCTGCTGAGTTTTCCTGCCATCGGCGCCCTCACCGTGCACGGCCACACGATGCTGGGTGCCCCTCCCATCCACGTCTCACATCAGCATCTGGGAACCAGTCCTGGGCCCCCCAGACACCCACTCGGGGCCTGACTGTGACTTAAGAAGGTGATGCAGAGAACAGATTACATTTAAAATGCCCTGGTGACATAGGGAATGAATGGCCCAAAAACTTGGTGACGTTTTTGCAAACTATCATATAAGCCAAAGAGCCACCAAGGACCGAGCACGGCTCCGCGTGCGCCCTGTGGCTTCCCCGGCACCTGACAGGTGAAATGTGTGCCAGTGTGAGGCCGCGGTCGCTCAGACTCCACCCTGTGCTGCTGTGGAGCCAACACCTGCACAACCACAGCCTCCGGGGACGCAGGGGCTCTGGGATTCACGGCAGCGCGTGGTGTGTTTTATTATTTATAAAGTGTGCGCTGCATCTTCCCATCCCTAACATCGACAACCTCTTATGCACTCAGATGTATGCACAGGTGGGGGTTGGGGCTCAGCAGGTGTCAGCACCACCCGGGTGCAGTGTCCTCCAGAGCAAACCCGGGGCGCAGCCCAGGCCCTGTGCGGGTGCAGGGCCACGTCCGGGGCCAGTCAACCTCCAGCCGTTGCTTCCCCTGCCCGATCCGGCCCCCAGGACAGGTGGCCGGGTCTCCTCCTGCAGCGGCAGAGGTGACGCTGGGCGTGAAGGGCGAGGAGTGACTCAGCCATCCCTCCTCCCCCTCGGCTCCCTGGGCACTGAGGTCTCACCTTCCCCAACACACCACCTGAGCAAGGAGCCAAAACCCCAGGGACAGGACCTCATCAGAAGAAACAAGACATTTGGAGACAACAACCATTTGAATATAAACATGATAATACTGGGCTGGCTGGTGTGACTCAGGGGTTGAGTGCTCACCTAAAAACCAGGAGGTCACGGTTTGATTCCCAGTCAGGGCACATGCCTGGCTTGAGGGCTTGATCCCCGGTAGGGGACGTGCAGGAGGCAGCTGGTCAATGATGATATCTATCCCTCCCTCCTTCTCTATTCCTCTCTGGAATCAGTAAAAACATTTTTTAAAAATGAAAAGGTCATTTTGAATTAGAGGATGCATCAGAATATATTCTGATATTTTAGAACAGGTAGCCTTAGAATTCTCACATTCTAAGAATAAAACAAGAGAACCAAGCAGCTCAGTGAGCTGAAAGAATAATTTACAGTCAGAAGGCCAGATGGAAACGCGGGGGAGAAAGATAAAGGAAACGAAAGCACAACCCAAATATTCCAATCCGGCGGCAGACACGCTGCCATCTGGCCATGAGGGTGCCCAGTGGCTGTGCCCCCGCCCCCCGCCCCCAGGCTCCGTCAGACGCACGCTCGCTGGGCGGATGAAATGACGTCTCTGGGACTCCCCTAAAGCAGAAAACAAAACCCTGATGAATGGAGGAGAGAAGGTCTAGGTGTGACGATCTTGGCCAACTGCAGAGACTCGCTGGAGCCGGTACAGGGGGTGCGTGGCACTGTCCTCTCCACTTTATGTCTTTAAAACTTTTCATAAGGAATTTTTAAAGTCTGAGCACAGACCTTTACAACACCGTTTAATGGTACGCTAAGTGCTCATGGGATTTTTTTTAACACAAAAGCAGGTATATACACACAGGGAAATAATTATGATGCTGTAAAGTGTAAATTTTCCAATTAAAAAAATAAGGAAATCAAGCAGGTTTTTCAATTGCATTCACCTCCTTAGAGGGTCTTTCATGGAAGTGGGCCTCTATGTGTCGGCTGAGCCTGCCACTCAGGTGCCAGGTGACCCGACACGGCAGAGCCTGAGGAGGAGGCTCGTTCTGGGTTTGCTGTGCTTTGGGGGTTGGAGGATGGGGGGAGAAAAAGGGTCTGGAAGACTCGAAGGGCATGTGGGGTGCAAGGGCACTGGGCTTGGGGTGGGGAGAGGGGGTTGTGGGGTTCATGGTGGTGAAGGGTGACATGGGGCCCGGGTGCATGGGGACGCTGGAGCCGGGGTCCACAGAGTCACAAGTGCGTACATGCAAAGAAGAAATGAGAGTTTTATTTTAAATCTTTAATATTCACAATAGGCCAGCAATCACTGTAAAAACCTGTAATCAAAAGATTGCATCATAAGCTATGAAAGTGTATGAGGCAATAGAGGTTCAGAAATCTCTCAGAGATTAACAGCAAAACCCAAACAGCCCTGTGAGCCCTTCCCCGTGCAGCCCTGAGCCTCCCCGGTTGCCCCAGGGCCTTTGCTCAGGCTCTGTCTGCACAGAGTCCGTCGTCACCCCAACTCGAGTGTCCCGTGTGGCCTTTCCACCAAGCCCATGGCCCCGGGCCCCTGTCTCAAGCCCATGCAGGCCCTTGGGGCACCAACAGGCCACTGGATGTCCCTGGGCTGCCCAGTCAGGGTCGGTAGGATGTCCTGTGAGTCCTGAGTCCACTCCCCATGGCCTCATTTTGGGGAGAACAAACCTGTTTCTTCTCCGCAAATGATCTGAGCAGTTGCGCAGAACAGGCTGTAAGCAAACTCAGATAAGGGCGACCTCCAAACCCGTGTTTGTGTTTCTGCTTTTGCCTGGAACTAATCGGCTTACGGTGACCGGGGCGGTGGGGGTGCGTGGCGCTCGGTTTACTTTTCATAAAAGCCCATTCTCACCGTGCCTTCATTTATTCCAGAGCTTCCCTCACAGGCGGCTCAGGCTCGGTCACTAAAGGGACAGGTAGAGACGCTCCTTAACTGTTCTCGTCAGAAAGGCCGGCTGTGGATTGAAGTTTGTCACTGCCACTCCCGCTCCATCTGTGCTCGGCGGTCGGCGGGCGTGAGCTGGCCTATCGGCTCCCATCACCTGTGCCGGGTGCAGCGAGGGGAGGCGAGCTCTCAGGATTACCTGCCGTGTGCAAACTGGAGACACCGCGTGCACAAAGCCGATTCCTGGCGACAAAGCGGGTGCCCTGGCCCGAGACGATGAAAGGGACGAGGCTGCATTTCAAAATGCATGACTGTCCCTCACTGTTGTAGTGAACCCCGCGAGTTGCACAAGGACGCCTCAAGGAGCCGAATTAAGGAGCCACATTTATTCCAAAGCCGGCGGCTACAAGGGGGCAAATGCTTTCCAAATCTCGTAGCGTCTGAGTGAGAGCAGAAGCTAGCTTATAAAGGCAAAAACCACATCCTGCCAGACATTGGAATGTGGAATTATCTTGCAAAAGCAGTTTTACAGAAGCAAAAATTGAGCAAAGGTAATAATCTCGAAAGGTTATCTATAGTTTCAGTTCCTGGAGCCACTGAGTCATCGGAAAGTATTCCCGGAGCCACTGAGTTAAGGAAAGACATTTTGTGGCTCTGGTCCTCAGACCCAGGAGAATCGCCTTTGCGATGTGGGCTGGCAACGAAAT